TGGCAGGAACTTGATAAATTAGAGATAAATTCTATGGACACCATCCTACCCCCCTACCCCATGACTGATGGATTCTTCAACCAAAAGAGTTGGGGAAGGGGGGGGGGCAGTGGGTTGAGTGTAGTCTAATGAAATAATAACCAATGTTTCTTCTTGTAAAAGCAGAATGACCAAGTTGCTACTGTACCAATATTGCACATGTAATTTGAATTTTGTATTGAGGCTATCTTAAGTGTCATTATTTGTAAAGAGTTCATGGAGTGAACTTATTTTACCACTAAAGGCGCAAGTTGAAAAGTTAGAAACTCACAGGATTTGTTACTTAGTAGCAGTTACAATGCACTTTGGAATTACCAAATAACAATCTAACTTTCTTGAAAGTCTAAGTCTTAATTTAAATGCACAGATGAACAGTTACTTAGTAGCAGTTACAATGCACTTTGGAATTACCAAATAACAATCTAACTTTCTTGAAAGTCTAAGTCCTAATTTAAATGCACAGATATATTTAAGGGCTAAAAAAGACAATAAGTTGTTCAAACAAAAGCAACACTTCTCACTTGCACACACGCACGCACAAAAGGAATGTTATAACAAGTAGCTCTGCTTCTAGACTGTTATGGAGTTGACTGTATTCAACGATCAGCCTGTTCAAGAGACCTTTCAACAATACTTTCCACTAGAAGGTAATGACTGTTCTGAATGTTAACTTAATCTTTTCAAGCTGTTATCCAATTACCAGCTTTAAATATATGCACTGACAGTACACTAAAATATTTCTGTGTTGCAAGAAAACATATCTAGGGAAGGAGAGAAAAGTATCTAAAAATTGTCTTTTTTCTATATCTCCATAGCAAAACAATATTTCTACTAAATATGTGTTTTTACCACTCATTTGTCTTGATTTAGTGCTTTGCATTTCCTATGTTCAAACAATTCATTATAGACCAAAGTGTGTGTTAAGTTAGCCTTCAAGAGCCTGTTGAGGTTATTGTGCATGGGGTTTTTTTCATGTAAAATATGACGCATTTTCCACTGCTTGACAGAGGTATGCAAGTGTCCTGACCAGGGCTGTCCACAGGAGAAAGACCATTGTTCTGTCCACAGGCAGTCTTTATTTCAGATGTTCAACAGCCTGGATACTCAGTAGCCTAACTGATTGCACAGCCTCTCTGTCCCTCCCCTGCTCTGAAGACAACTTGATTTGTTATGGGCAAAATTCAAAGCTTTTTCAGGACAAAAACCCATGAAAACCACCAAGCCAGGAATGTATTAAGTTGGCTTTTGCACTCCAACAGAACAGACCTCTTCAAACACCTTCCTCCAGAAAGTGACAATACCAACCATTGTTGTAAGCCAGCTCAAAGAAGGAATAGGACCACATCTCCTCACGCACTTGCCGTGACATATTACAGAAAGTACTGGCAGGCCTTCCCTTACATCTAAGGTTATGAAATAAGAGTGCTCCTGTAGTGGCAGGCTTTTGTCCCTTTATCTGAGGACTCCCATCCTATTTCTTCCAGACTGAGTCTTTGTTGCTGTTCTTTTTGCCTAATCTAGCAAGATTCAGCACTTATATAAAATAGATAAATGAATCTTTACTGTTTTAGCAAAGATTTGAATGGAAAAAAAGGTCTATTCACTAAAAATGTAGGCAAATACCAGCTGGGTTGGAAAAAGGCAGACTGCAGCTATCTGTAGAGGAATGAGGTGCAGAAAGGGAAGAAGTGAATCATATGAGCAACATCAATTCCCTTGAGGTTAATTTTCCTCTTTTTTTTACAGCACAGTAAATATTTTACATTACTACTCAAAGACAGATCAAATAGGAGATAGAATAACATGTGGGAGCAGAGGGAGTGCATTAAGAGAAATCTGTATATTTGTAAGGGAAAGAAAAAGCCAGTTTCAAATCTGCACTTACACTGGCTAGCAGACACTGAACAGAAAAAGGCAGTATTTAGAACCATAGGGTTTATGCATTCATCTGGGAAACAAAAGTCATACCATTATCATGAATGCTACCTCAATAACCAACTAAAGCTGTATTTATGTATCTATTAGCAGAAAATTCTTCAGGAGGAATATAAAGTCAAACCCTACCAAACAGACGATAAATGTCCAATTGCTCTGTGAGCCCACAAGACTGCAGCAGAGGAACGGAGACAGGGACGTTCTCCGAGAATTCATTTAGTGGACATAAGCACAGCCACAGGCTGCTGCTGCAGGAGTGCTCTGTACAGCTATATCACCTTCATTAGATGCCAAAACAGTCACATGACAAGAAATAAAACAGAGTCAAACACTTCCAGATGGCAGGGGAGAAAAATTGTTCAAAGATAGTAAGGCATTTGTCAATGCAAGTTGGATTTGTTTTTACAGAAGGAATCCCTGACTACTCTCCAAGCCTGCTGTGGAAGTAAACAATTATTTCATGACACAAAAATGAAGAGGGGCAGGGAAGAATAAACCTAGTGAGACTAAAAACCAAACAATATCTGAAAATAAGTACAGGCCGTATTATATCATCTCCTGTTACTGCCTGATATTCCCCACTCCTCCCTCCTGCTATTTGAAGGTATAGAAGTTTTATCTGGCAACATGTTAGGTGTCCTCTAGACAACAGGAACTACTTTTTTATGTCAAGGCACTATTCTGACAACTTGGTTCAGCACATTGGAGCCAAGTCAGAAAACAAATTCTTAGACCACAGTTTCTACAAGAGCTAACCCCAGTTCCAGAAACAGATTTAAGTTGCTATTTCAACTGAATGCTAACCTAAAGAAAAAGTGTCTTTATTGGTGTTACTGGTCTATTCTTTATGCCATTTGGTATGATACTGGCAACAACGATGAACTTCAGCAAAATGTACAGCTGTTCTTCTGTAACAAAGACTTGCAAGGCAGAGCATTTTGCCTGTAATTAGCTGCCATGCAAATTTTTAATCTACAAACTGACTGAGAATTAGGTTTCCTGTTCTGTCACATTTGACTACAAATACTTCATAGTATCCCAAGTTAGACATCTAACTGAAACAGTTGAATTCTACCCCATAACTAATGATTCTTAAATATTAGGCTGATGTGAAAGGCACTTTATCCCCAAAAGTACTCAGCAAAATAGAAATAGTATTGCTGGCCAGAAACTTTAGAGGCCCCCTTACCTCCTAATCTTTGCAAGACATTGTAGTCCACCTGCATTCCAGACTGAGAATGTCACCACATCACAAGTCATCACTAAAGAATAGATTTTTGCTTCTTCTAAACTGTATCTTAGCCTTGAATCTGCATCTCGTCAGAGGTAATTTTTGTTTCACCCTGAAGGGGGAAGGATTAGCAATAGTAAAGTAGCACCTCATAATACAACAGTTATTGGATGGGAATTCAAGGCCAAGACCCTGCAGTGGCATGAGAGAAACCATAATTCTATCTCAGAAAAGTAATTTGTCACTAAGGAAACTACTAATGACAAGGGAATCTACCTTTTAGTCAGTCGGAGATTACCAAGGAGTTATGCCATAAAGATTAAACACTTTCTCTACTCCTGTGCTGGTTTGAGCTGGAGTAGAGTTAACTTTCTTCATAGAGGCTAGTATGAGGCTATGTTTGGGTTTTGAGCTGAACACAGGGTTGATAATGCAGAGATGTTTTTGTTATTGCTGAGCAGAGCTCACACAGAGCCAAGGCCTTTGCTGCTTTCTGTACTGCCACGCTGGCAAGGAAGTTGGGGGTGCATGGGAGATTGGGAGGAGACACAGCTGGTACAGGTGACCCAAACTGACCAAAGGGATATTCCATACCATATGACATCATGCTCAGTATATAAGGTGGGAGGAAGAAGGAGGAAGGGGGGACATCTGGAGTGATGGCGTCTGTCTTCCCAAGGAACCGTTACGCGTGATGGGCCCTGCTCTCCTGGAGATAACTGAACACCTCCTGCCCATGGGAAGCAGTGAATTAATTCCTTGTTTTGCTTTGCTTGTGTGTGCAACTTTTGCTTTGTCTATTAAACTGTCTTTATCTCAACCCATGAGTTTTTGTAGCTTTTACCCTTCTAATTCGCTCCCCCATCCCGTTGGTGGGGGAGTGAGTGAGAGGCTGTGTGGTTCTTGGCTGCTGCTAGGGTTAAACCATGACAACTCCAAATTTGGTCACAGAGCAAAATGCCTGAAAACCACAGAACCTGCAAGTTAATTCAGTCTTAATCCTTCCCTATTGTAGGAATGAGCTATACACGTACAGCAGATAGGGAACATGCTTGGTGCTACTAAAATTAGCACTCAAGTAGTATGGTACTAAACAGTTATCGGAGATGAATATCACCTTCACAGACCTAGAACAGTTGTACCATTTATTTTTTACTCCTACAGTTCCCCAAAGGGTCCAGCACTTTAAGTGATTGGTATCTTAGAGCCATTACAATTAATTGAGTTCCCAAAGGGAAAAGGAGCCAGCTCATTAATGCCCATTGTAGGGGACTTGTCATTACATATGTAGCAACAGGGGCTTTTCACCACTGAGATTCCAAGCTGTCATTATTAGCTTCCAACTCACAACTCTAACATTGCGGTATGCAAATGCAGCAGTTACCGCAACCTCACTTCCACTGGCATTGCCTGAGGAATAACTGCTAACCGCTTGACACCCCTGTGAGCTTGTGCATAACACCCTTTGCAAGAACCTTACACTTCTGTGGTAGACAATGCGTTGACCCTTCCTCGCCTAGCGTTTCTGTCAATGCTGTCATTTAAGAGCTTGTAAGACTAGTTGAGTGCTTTTAGCCACTGCCAGTCCTAACTCAGTTCAGCAGAGCATTAGTCTCAGATACAAACCTCTGTCACCTGGCAAGTTAGTAGTGCTGTAGCTGCTTGAGTACTGCTGAAATAACTGAAGAAATACTTCATGATTGGGCTGGCAGTAGTAGTGTAGCCCACTAAAGCTTTCAGCTTCAGAAATACTCTATTTTACTTCAGTGCTAACATAATAATGGAGAACAATACTTTAATAGCTTAATTATTTTTTTATTTTTATCCCCTCTGCATTTAAGCTTTACAGTGATTTCTTGAAGATCATTCATTCTTGTAGACCTCTAAGAGGTAACAGGCAAGATTGTTTCAATCATACATACAAAATTACTTATGTTTACAAATTTTTGGCAATCACAGTAACCCGTTTTTTCCTATTGCCATTGCCCCAACCATTGAAAAAAACAGTGTACAATAATTTACATTTGGAGTATTTCAAAGTGCTTGATAGTGATTTTCCAATAACAATTATTTACAAGTGACCTATGCACATATGTACAGGTGTTACAAGTTGTGGCTGGAATATGGCTTTCTATGGAAAGTGCTTTATATTTGGTCAGTGGTGTTACTGACTAACCAATCCAAGGGTTACTGATAAAACTGTAACCACTAACAGTTGAATTGTTGTGGACAGGTATTTACAGGATTTGTTGGTAAGCTGTATAAAATAGCTATTTACATGAGTGTTCCATAAATACAGAAAGTATCTTCTTTCTTCCAAGAATGGAGGAAGTCCTTCAGCCACAAACCTGGTTACTATCCCCAAAGAATGTAAGACACAAGTAAACTGGAAGTGATTGCTGATCCAGTGCTCACACCATATCATCGTCTGTGCTTACAACCGATATCTGCAACAAAATAAGTACAAGTTACCTACAGTTGACTAGGAAAGTGATCATACTTGGGTCGCATCTCGAGTACCATGTTCAGTTTGGAGTACCTCACTTTAAAATAGGACATTGAGGTGCTGCAGCATGTCTAGAGAAGAGCAACAAGGCTCATGAAAGATTAGAAAACATGTCTTATGAGGAATGGTTGAGGGAGTTGAGTTTGATTAGTCTCAAGAAGACGAGGCTTAGGGGTGGTCTTATCACTCACTACAACTACATGAAAGGAGGTTGTAGCGAGGTGGAGACTGGTGTCTTCCACCATGTTTACAGTGAGAGGACAAGACAAAATGGCCATAACCTGAGACAAAGGAGATTCAGACTAGATATTAGAAAAAAAATTTTCACTTTTTGCCTAGTCGGGCATTGGAATAGATTGACCAGAGAGGTGGTGGAGTCACCACCCCAGGAGTTGATTAAAGGTGTCTAGATCTGGCACTGGAAGATATGATTTAGAAGTTACAGTGGCAGTACTTGGTGGACAGTTGAACTTGATCTGAAAGATCTCTTCCAACCTTGATGATTCTATGATAATTGTACTAATAAAAGACATAAAACTATGTGTATCATTGCTAATTCTGCGGGCTAGCAATCACATTCGGCACAGATTACTCCATCCCTAGTACAGGACACTGGTTGTCCCCTACAACTTTAACCTTGATTACAGGGACAAGTTCTCAGTTGATTCAGCCCAGTGGTTTGGCTGCAACCAGCACCTTGCAAGAGCACAGATCCCTCCTAAACTCAAGTCAGATATCATTTGGCAGTCTCTGTCTACTTCAAGGATTAACTTGGAATCTCAGACATGTCAATATGTCAATAGGTTCACTTACTGCTGGGTAGGTGTGTCCCACTGAACCACTGTGTCTTCCGATATCAATTGTGATGTCCTCTTCTGTAGTTTTCAGATAGACTGGGTTATCAAAATTCATGCTTTTCATGTTCTTGTGTTGCCAGTTACGCCACATGAAGTACCCAGCCACTGCAGCCATCACCAGCAATACTTCAGGGAAACAAAGAGATTGCACACATGAAGAAGGGTCAGGTTTAATCTCAATCTCCTGGCTAAGAGTGTCGTGTCCCATCACACAGCACCCCAAAGAAGTGAATGCTGTACTCACAGGCAGGAAGAACAGTCCAAACTGCTGATGTTCTTCCAGCTGCCATTACTTCAGGTGTTGCATCACTAGAGTTCAACCCTGCATGAGAATTTGAAGTAGTGAGCTTACCTACAGACTGTCAGACTGTCATATACAAGCACTTCCCAAGCTCAGAAGCTGCTATTGTATTAGATTCTCAGTAACACACTACTGGAATAGGCTAGCAGGCTTCATCCTATATTAGTAGGAAGTTTTATTTTATGCTTGCCTTCTCTGAGCACTCCTGGGATTTCACGAAACCTATAGGTTCCACACTGTCATAAGTGAACTAATTCTGTTTAACACATGCTCCAGCTGTTGCACTACACACATGACCTGGCCTGTGTTCTCTACTTGCATGCAAAGGAGAAAACTTCCAAGTATGCTAGTGGATCAGTTTGCACTTAATTTCTCTAAAGTTTAGCAGTGTGAGTTATTGGGACCAGTACCTCCAGGAACTAGTCCAACAGTTGGAGATTTTTCTGTTGTGCTGGTATCTTTAGTCTCAGTGTAAGCCACAGTTGTTCCAGTACCTGAAACTAATTATAGATCAAGAACCCAGTTAATCCTGAAGTTCTGCAATGGCTTTGCTATGAGAGCCATGGTAGTGAATGTTTAGCAGATGGCAGAAATGATCATGCAGCTTGTTAGTTTTATTGGGAACACTGACATTAGTTGTTTTACTAGCACACTCTCAGCTGAGGAGTTTTGATGAAAAACAGTTCCAAGAACAAGGCTAGACAGTTAACCAGGCATGAATTACAGGTATTTAGAGTCACAATAGTAAGCCATTCCATCCTTTGCATAAGGTTTTCTGAGTGAGGTTTTAGTTCCACAAGTTTAGTGATTAAGTACAGCCTTTCATACCCATAAAACCTTTTAAAGCAGCCAACTGAGGACAGCATCCTTGCATTCAGCACTTTAACTGTGTCAGTCAGAATCAACATGCAATATAGTACTTGGCACCTTGGAGCTTCTAGTTCCACTTCACTGGACAAACAAGCCTGCAGTACAGTCAGTGTTGATGATAGTAGCAGCAGCATGTTCTTTTGTACCACAAAAGGAGGTACAAACTTCCTTGGACAACACTAGCCAATGAACTTTTCAACGCTATTCATACACTGTAGAACCATGTCAATTTATACCCCATTGAATTAGAAAAGAGCTGAGTGTGTTTTGTGCATGTGCTTGCTGTCTGCAGAAAGCCACGGAGGTACAAGGTCTTGTTGCGAATGATGATGACGCCAAGCCAAGCATGGACTTTGAACAGCACCTGCAGACTTTGAGGGCCATATTAATGCATGTTAGAAGACCCTTCCTCTAAGATTAATTCCATCAGGCTAACTAAAGAGAAGCTGTCAACCTATATAGCCATATTTGCCTCTAACAGATTCAGTACTCCCCTACTACTTCCCCATACATCCTGGGGAAGATTTCAGTTGTGCTACCATACCTGTACATCTCACACCATCCTCCTGCAAGAAGTATCCAACAGGACATGCACAGGTGTACTTTGGAGAATGTTCATTTATCTGAGGAGCAGGCAGACACAGGTAGCTACAGCCTCCATTCACCATGTTCTCTTCACACCAGTTCCTGCCTGTTGATACAGCAATTAACAGGAGTGAGTCTTCATGCTCCATGTGTATAGCATAATTATTTGCTGAGTAATTGTTTTAGCTATAGATTTATACCTGCTTTGCCTAAGAAAGAGCAATTGCAACTAGACCTTCTCTCAACCCCAGTGGGGGTGCCTACATGCTTCTAAGCTCCAGAAACAAGTAGAAGTGGATAGCTATACAATGAAGGGATACCCATTTGCCACCACCCAAGCCAGGCAGCCTTCTTATAAGTATACACTGACTACAAACTATTAGAGTTACCTGAAGGCTGAACAAGTTCGTGATACACAATGATATCCTGTGCATCATTGAGGTTGTTCACTAGGGTAACCAACTCAGAACCAGTAAATTTGTTGGCACCGTAGACTGCCTCATTCTCTCCATCAATCCAGTACACACGGTCCTAGAAGACAATGTTATTGCATCCCATTACTTTCCGTTCCCTCATTGCCTGCCTGTGCTGGTTTGGGCTGAAGTAGAGTTAACTTTCTTCACAGTGGCTAGTATGGGGCTGTGTTTGGGTTTTGAGCTGAACACAGGGTTGATAATGCAGAGATGTTTTTGTTATTGCTGAGCAGAGCTTATACAGAGCCAAGGCCTTTACTATGTTCCGTACTGCCACGCTGGCAAGGAAGTTGGGGGTGCATGGGAGGTTGGGAGGAGACACAGCTGGTACAGGTGACCCAAACTGACCAAAGGGATATTCCATACCATATGACATCATGCTCAGTATATAAGGTGGGAGGAAGAAGGAGGAAGGGGGGACATCTGGAGTGATGGCGTCTGTCTTCCCAAGGAACCGTTACGCGTGATGGGCCCTGCTCTCCTGGAGATAACTGAACACCTCCTGCCCATGGGAAGCAGTGAATTAATTCCTTGTTTTGCTTTGCTTGTGTGTGCAACTTTTGCTTTCTCTATTAAACTGTCTTTATCTCAACCCATGAGTTTTCCTATCTTTTACTCTTCTGATTCGCTCCCCCATCCCGTTGGTGTGTGAGCGGCTGCATGGGGCTTGGTTGCTGACTGGGGTTAAACCACGACACGGCCACATACTAGCAAGACGATGTTCTTTGACAATGACTGCAGAAAGTCATTCTTACCTCAAATATTGTTAGAGCAAGAGGATGAGGAAGGAACATATGTGACTTCAGCACAATTCTACGGTCCTGGCCGTTCAAATCCACACTTGACAGCATATGTAACTTAGAATCAAGCCAATACAGGCGGCTTTTTACAAGATCTAGAGGGGGGAAACCAAACACATTTACTATACACATTGAGAAAACCTCTAAAGCCTCCTGCAAAAATTGGAATACCCATACGTTCAACAATAGCTGCATTGTTGCTCTAGTTTCTTACCATTCCAGGATGCAGAAGGCTGCTTCAGTGATGCTTAAGCGGCCTGTGCCTCAACTATAATATAGAGCAGTGCAAGAGAAGTTACTGTTTCAGTATCTGAGAAGTGTTGTCTGTGCCTGTTGCAGTGCCTCCAGGCATGCAGGAACTTCCCTTTCTCAGAAGCTGAAAATAGTTCTCTGAAGGATGACCTTTGCTTTTGCAGCAAAAAAATTGCTAAAGCTACAGAATACCTCTGGCACAAAGACAAGTTCAACATACCTAGAGCAATTCCATTAGGCCAT